TGATGTTTTGAATAAACCCATGCAAGTGAAAATTTTGATCAAAAAATTGACATATGTCAAAAACTATGACAGGTAAGTACTAACAACTAGGTACATTTTACTCAGTTTGGAGAGGAGAATTCAAAAATATATTAAAAATAAGTGGTTACCATTTAACATTTCAAAGTTGGCGCCAATTTCTCGTAGTGCCGGAAGTCCAGCCATTTTGAAAATAATTTAGTTGAACTCGGACTGGTTGATTTGGGTTGTGTGGAAAATTTCAAATTCCTATCTGCATTCGAAGTTAAAAAGTTTCTAATGTAGGCCCTAAAAGAATCACCTTGTATGTTTGACAATTAATTTATTAATTGAATAATGATAGTTCTTGTTAAAAATGACTTTGTTTCTTATTTTAAAGCTATTTCGTTGAGTTGTCATTTATTAAAATTATGTTCTTCACCAACATTTTTGTTATTTAACTTGCGTAAACTCATTTGTCAAAGTGACATTATTGTCAAAATAATAAAACCGCCGATGTGATAGGACTTAAAAAGCAGAGAAAAATTATTCCAAAATGAACAGAAAAATTAACTTTTCTTTCTACTGAGTTAGAATAATGAAGTTTTAATTACAGATTTCTTCGTTTCAAGTAAAGCAAAAAATGTTTTTCCTTTGCAGTTTTGGCGTAAAATCAGAATTAAAAATTTTTTTCCTCATGTAAACTCAATCTGGGAACATACTGTATACAGGGTTATTCATAAATATGAAGCAATATTTGAACCTCAAAAAGGACCTATAAAATGATGTTAATTTAAATAATAACTCATGTCCTATCTCTACTGATAAGAATTTTACAGCCCTCGAAATGTGGGTATGGAAATCTGATTTTTTTGTAATAACTTTGGAACTATTTGACCAAATATTATAAAATTTGAAACATTTCCTTGTGACAACATACCTTTTGAACTGGTAATCACGAAAACCGGATACATCTACTCAATTTCCGGTTACAGCAGTTGCAGGTCACATTTTCTGTGTTTTTCCATTTTTTTGCTCTCTTAACACCAATTTTTTATTGCCTAAATCGATAGAGTAATCAATTGCGAATAAAAAACGCATAACCTTTAATACCCCTAAAATGGACCGTTTCAAAGATATTTTAATTTAAACTGAGGACTGCACAACGCTGAAATCAAAAAGTATGAATTTTGAATGAGTGATATCCAAGGGAACAAATGACCATGGTCACATATTTTGCTGTCAGGCATCTGTCAACTTGAGATTGGACGATTATTAGACGATTAATCGAAAATATTTAATAAAAGAGTTTACCTCAGATTCCAAACATAACTTAGAATAAATCCAAATGGATCTCGTAGCATTTAATTCATAAAAAATTAACAAAAATTTATCGTCAAAGTTAACAGAGGATTTATGTGACCATGATCTTTGGTTGCCGTGGATACCGCTTATTCAAAATTCATATTTTTCATTCTCAGTGTTGGGCAGTTCTCACTTTAAATTAAAATATCTTTAAAACGGTCCATTTTAGTGGTATAAAAGGTTATGCGTTTTTTATTCAAAATTGATTACTCTTTAGATTTAAGCAATAAAAAAATAGTGTTAAGAGACCAAAAAACGAAAAAACACAGAAAATGTGACCTGCAACTGCTGAAACCGGAAATTGAGTAAATGTATCCGTTTTTTCGTAACTACTAGTCTAAAGGCTATGTTCTCGCAAGTAACTATTCTAAATTTTATAATACTTGGTCAAATGGTTCCAAAGTTATTACAAAAAAAAAAACAAATTTCCATACCCACATTCCGAGGGCTGTAAAATTCTTATCAATAGAGATCGGACACGAGTTATTATAAAAATTAACATCATTTTATAGGTCATTTTTGAGGTTTAAATATTGCTTCAAATTTATGTATAACCCTGTATATCCTGTTTCTCAGTCTCTACACATTAGAAATTTAATTGAAGAAAAATCGTGGTTCTACTTTACCTATGTTTCTACACAACCTTTACATGTTTATGTTAATTTTATTTTTATTACTCTTTATTTTTACTATGCTCTTTCGTTTTTTTTAATTGCGTTTTAAGTGTAAATAAAAAAATAATGTGAAAAAACAGACTCAAATCGATGGCAACGTCTCCATATTTATTTCACTCTTTCAATTCGTTTTGCTAGATTTTTTAGAAAATAATCGTATTTGAGGAAATATGCACTCATCGTCTTTATTTTTCATTTTATTTACAAGAAATTTTAAAAATATGTATAAATCTGCACTGTAATTAAAAAAAAAACAATTTTGACTATAAAATTTACTTCACTAAATTTCTAATCTGGCACAATGGCCAGGTTAACTCTTCCCCTAGTTATTGTAATTAACAGCATATCACTGCAATCGTCCGATTTGGACAAATATGTCAATCATCTTCCACGCAAACGTTGAAATCAGATAATAAACCAGATCCGCTATGCAGCAGTAGTTAATTCCAAAACGACCAAAAAGTTTGAGACAAGTTTAAAACTCCGGTTCATAATAGAAAAATAAATAAATGACGAAATATCGACCCTGTAATAATCGCCGTCAATAAACGTCACCGTCAGGAAATTATTGTCAATCACTTTGTTTTATAGATCGTAAACGCAAGACAATCTAAAAACTGTTGCAAAACTTCGCAAGGCGAAATTAAATCTCCACAAATGTGCTTGAGATTGCAGTTCGCTTCAAAAATTGTTATTCAAGATTAAATTAAGCCTCAATTAAGATCAATGTTTGCTCGCTTGAACGGAAGAGACGTAACCAAGTTAAATAATCCCTTAAATTAAACGGTTGTCTTTTTAGTCATTTGTAAACATGCTGAGTTTTCGCATTTTGCCTTTGTCACTCTGGGAGATTCGTTTCAAGCCTATATTCGAAAAGAGTTGAAATAGTGAGGCAATTATTAGTTCAAACATGTTTGAGAAATATGTGACTAAGCTTCCCTGCGCCATGAATACAAATGATGCAAGATTATTACCGTTTTTTTAACTTAAGCAGGGTTGTAACTTACAGCCGCAGTACTTTTTCTGAGGTCAAAGGCGAAATTCTCACTTGCTATTTACTAATAAAATAAATCACTGAACAAACTTGCGTAATAACATTGAAACATAAGAAATCCCTCAGGAAGTTAACTGTAATAATAAACATTTCTCTTTGAGGTCAAATAATAACGAATTTACACAGAAATAACAGCTATTCCACCTTCAACAAAATAAATATAATTTAAAAAATCATGCAAAACCAAATAGAACAAAATTGAAAATTTGCAAATAACAGCCAATTATTATATTCTGCTTGAAAAACATATAAGTAACTCAATTAAATCTCGCTTCCAAATTATAGTAGTGTGTACCACGCAATGTTTTCTTCACATTTTACTTAAACTGCCTATTATAAGCGATTATGTTCTACTATCACATGCACCACTTAATCAGGCTAAAATTTATTTAATCATAGGTTTTCAGATAAATAATCGACCAAGTTAAAGAAATATTTGTTATATTTAAGCACGAAATCGGTCAGATAACAAGGTTCATATAATTTTATTATTCTTTAGAACGAGCGTTTTATGGTCAACATAAAATTTTGTACTAAAAATAGAGTACATAAAGTGAAAGAAAACATAAACATAATACATATATTTTACTAAAACTTTATAAATAGTAAAGCCTTAAATAAAGCATGTGTTAGCAGGTGGATACTGTTTTTTATTATGTAATTTTAACTATAAATGAAATCAAAAAGTTAACAAATTAAAGTAAACAAAAAACGTTAATTTATGTAGATTCGTAAAACAATACAGGCTGACTCACGTAAAAAACGAGCTTTTTAAAAACAGAAAATTTGTGTTGCGTAAGGCTCGTCATCTCACGTTAATTAAGCTCTACGTTTAGAAAAACAAATGAGGATGACACTCTTTTTATTTTTTAATGAAAACAAAAGTTTTAAAAAAACTTTTGATAAATTCATATATATTTTCATTCGACCGTTCTAATAACTAGTTTAAATTAATAATCTTTACAAAGTTTAACAATTTATACCTCAAAACATACATAAATATGGCGATAACTACAAAATTTTAAATTTTACAAATTTTAAAAACTTCTTTGGTTATACTCGTACAAACCTTCAAATATTTCTTATAAGCCAATTTTTTAGCTACTTTTAGCTCTTTAATAAACCTAAAAAAAAATTAAAACAAATAAGGTGAAAGCATTATTAAATAAGAAGTTATTAATTTCATTGTACAGGATGTTCCAGTTGAGATGGTCTCATTCACTGTCTTATTTAAGTTTTCAATATTCAGTAATCAAAAATTCGGAAGTTGCCTAAAAAAATTCAAGTGAGACAACCTGTAAAATTCTTCTAGAATTTTAAAATTGAAAACTCCAAACTGGAATATTGACTAAAATGATATTGTGTTATATTTGTTTAAAAAAAAATAAAACTTAAAGGTTTGAATAACGAACATGAGAAAACATAAATGTCTGGAGGTTGTTGATTTAGTGGTATATTGTAAAGATTCATACACGCAAAAAGCCTTGTTGGTAGCACGTAGTTATTATTCTAATGGCCAATATTTTAAAATAAGCTCAATTTTCTAACCTGAAGGAAATTATCATGCAATTAAACGTGCACGAAGTCATTCGCCACGGTCGTGATATTTCCCTCACAATAATTTCTCACCAGTTACTGGTACGCCACGTAAAGCCGGCATCGATTTTTTTATTGGTCTCATTGTGTCATTCGCTCCGATCCCTTTGTGTATTGAAAATCTCCAATCTCGTTAATGGGAATTCACACGCAAGAATATCTCTCCTGAAAGTTTCCCGAACTCAATGAACAAGAACGCAATTACAACAGCCATAAATTCACTACGGCGTAAATTCTCCCTCTCTTTGACAAATCATAACCGACTTTAGAAGCCATTTCCAAGCATAAATTTCAAAGTTTTTGGTAAAAATTACCTTCAAAGCTTCTTCGTGTGAGATGCCGGTAAATGGTGTTCCGTTAACTTCTAATATTGAGTCGCCAGGCCTCAATCCTGCACGTTCCGCCACGCTGCCTTCTTCCACCCTCGAGATGTACACACCCACGCCTAATTAAAATTGAAATATTAGATTCAAAAGGAAATCGCTTCGGAATTTGATCGGCAAAACACGACACAACCAAATGGAAAATCTAATATTCGACTCTACAGCTGCAGAGGCTTAGGAAAATCGATAAATCAGCTTCCCACATCCCTCATAACAATGTTATTACTTATTACCATTACTTGTTATAAAAAAGTTATTTTTATAATTATCTCTTATGATTAAATTAATTTTGACCAATTATAAAAAAGCTCTGTTCTAGATAAATTAAATAATTTTAACCTATAAAAAAACATGTAGCACAAGTATAGTTATTTATTATACAAGACGATAAAGAAATTGTTTATCTACAAGTGAAAAGGTTAAGTTTACGGGTGACGAAGTCACGAGTGGACGTTTTTCACGAGTAGATAAACAATCTTTATCGTCTTCTATAATAAATAACTATATAAGTCTACCTTATCTACCGAAATTATTATCTACTAATAAAAGCACTCTTTAACATTGAGTACAAAATAAAATATTTTTTCATACATAATTTATTCTTGTTGATAATTTTAACAGCCATAAGCTATAAAAAATGTAGAAAAGTTTTTACCTGATTGTATGATTTTCATCAAAGTTTAAAAATTGTTAGTGAAAATAATGTCATTGGACAAAGAGTAAAATATTGGCTGACGCAAATTTGGTATTATACCGGAAAATAAGAGCGTTTGTCGAAGCCGAGTGGTAATAAATCGTAGTAAAAAATAGCGGAAAAACTATTTTAATCGTCGACTTGTACAGGAATAAATACACAAAAATGTGTGCACGCGATACAAGTATTCATTTGAAATTCTAAGCAGATAGATGGTAATCCGGTTTATTCCAGAAGCAGTAAATTAAATGTTTGTTCTCTTTCAATAATCATTTCTGTAGAGGTCTTATTCTCAAATTTAAAATTGTATTTTTATCAAAAGTAACCGTCTTTGAGAAGACAAATTACAGGACTTCTTTCATCTGTTGATTCAATTGGCACCTGTTCAAAATGGATTCTTTTCAAATGCAAATCACTCCAATAATAGCATATAAAATATGATAACACGTTTTACCTGCGTCTTTCCCTCCTTTGACACAAATCCCGAACCCGTGGGTCCCATCCTGGGGGTCCCTAACCATTGTGACAGTTCTCGTTGACAGTTCATGTATGCTAGGGCCGTAGGGAGCTCGATAATTAACTTGGTGTGTGGTTGAAGGAGGACTACTAGCTGGAGACCTTCGCGGCCTTTCTGGATTTAATTTAGTGTTTGATTGATTATTGCTACCGAATAAACGAAGAACTTGTTCCGGAGATATCGGCCGTTTCTTGTTATTACTTGGTGTTGTTCTGCTTGCCGTGCTGAAATTAGGATTTGACCCCAGATACGTACCTGGAAATAACATTTCTTTTTGTATAAATCACTAAGATAAATGGGTTTGGCGATTTATGTGGCCATTTAAACAAAAATAGTTTGAACTGAGTAAACAACAAAAGGTGATAATCCTGATGAAATTTGTCGACAAGTTATAAATAATTGTATTGATTTTCTATCGCGTTTTTCACTTGGTTAATTTTGGTGGAGGCGCCGGGTTTCGATGCAGTCTAAAAGCTTTATTTCATCAGGCGCCAAACTTATTTTTTGCAACCTCAAACCAAAACTTTGCGTATAAATCTAAACTTTTTCAAATCCAGACTAAATTTAAATACAGAGTTTGATAACGACGCGCATTTCGCGTTTTGCGGTTTAATTAACACAACTTTTATTTCCTCCGAAAACGGATTTGAGAGATTATTGGTAAAATGTTACCGCCACAAACTGAGTTATTACAGACAAGTAAACTGATCTCAGATGGGAATTATAGAGGAAATAAATCAACCAACAAGCTTTACAAATTTATCCACACTTTTTTAAAGAACCTTGACTATCTCCTACATGAAAGCAAACAAACGTAATAAAGCACAAAATTTATTTTGATGATGTAAACACATACTCAAAAAGAATCACGTCCTATTCATGAAATACAAACACGTTGTTTATTAATCCTGTGGAATAAAATTGTTAAAATTCAAACGAAACATCAATTTAAATATCGCTTCAAATATTCGATTGGGCAAAAACACACAAACTTCTCCAAAATACTGCAATTTGGTACGCTCGTAACTTTTTTGCTACTCGTGAGTAAACTGTAAGAGTTTATTACACATTTCTTTAGTTTTTATTTTAAGCAATAAAAGGATATTAATAAAATCGCAAAAAGGATTCGAAATACTTACTCATAGAGCAAAATTGTGGATGCTGTATTGATTCTTTTGATTCTCTTCTCCTTTGAGTCAAGTTCTGTAGGCTTCTAATCTTTAAAAAGATGAAAACGCCTACGCAACGAAAATGTGTGTGTGTGGGAGATGAAAGATTATTTACTTTGTAACATAACCAGTTTGAAATTTAAACAAAACTATGAATTTGATCTTGATTAAAATTTTGTTATTACATTTGTAAATTAGTGTGTAGTATAGCGATTTCTTTTTGAATTAAATTTGTATTTAAGATTTTTTGACGCCCTGAATACATAAATATTTCAATACTTAATTGTACCATTAAGCAGTTTAATGTCTGACATTACTTTTAGTGCTACTATATCATATTTTCATGCACTTAATTTTATGAATAAGTTATAACAGAATGAATCTACAGTGGATTATGTTGTAAAGATTTATAATGATATTTTCTGATATTAAATCGAACAAAAGAATCGTAAAATATTAATTAAAATAATAATAATTGTTACTAACTAATAAATGTCTAGATTTTGTAAAGTTAAGATAAAATAATAAATCAATTTAACTTTTTGAAATATTTTCAGATTCTGTTTATTTAAGAAAAAATATGAAACTTGTCTACATTTGAAACAGCGTAAAAATAAACTATAAAAATTCTGTTTTCTTCTTTTTGATCAGTGTGCTTCTCAAAAATTAACTAGAAATTTGGTACAACGTCATGAAATTAAAAAGAGAAAAAGGTTCAATGAAAAATGAATATTCGATAAACAACATTCGTAAACCGTAGTTAATTTTTTCTCACTCTATATTTTGTCATGTTGTAAAATTATTGAAGAAGTAATAAAAAATCCTATTTTTCTCCCAAATTTCGTATTACGTTCGTTTGGAATTACAGATTACAATGTCATTTGTACATTTAGAACCATTTAGAGATATTAATTTTTAAAGATTTAGTATGTGACAATTCGTCAGAATTTGTTCTAATATGTTTGTGTGATCAAAAAGCATTACAAATATTAATTTAGAAACTTTCTAGTTACTTGAAGCTATTAAGGATCTTACAAAATTACACAAAAATTAAACAATGTAGAAACTCATACTTACCTCTTTGAGATATAACTTTGTAGTTTTAACTTATCACGTCTTCGAAAACAATGTTACTTTGCTGTTGTTAAAAAAATGTTTTTTCAAATTACATGTGTTGCATCTTTTATCAAAAATAACTTTTCGAATTGTTGTGTAACGGTAAGAATCATAACGGGTGTTTTTTTTTTAAATTTAGCGTCAAAACTATCTATGAAAGTTTGATTGTGAACGAACCATCGTATTAAAAGTTATTAATATAACATTTAACACCTCGCAGGGCGTATTAAAAAGTGTGGTCCGTTGACAACACACTTATATCACCGCCAACTATAACGCTAAATAATATAAATGCAGTTTTAGAATATTGTATCTTTTAGTGTTGATAAAGTGAAACCACGAAATTAGTGCACAAAAAGAAAGTTCGTTATTTTGACCTCAATTCCAATAAATAAACAATAAATACAGGTAAAAGGACGAAACTGAATTTACAATTTTTTATAGTATACAAATTAATGGGACCAACAAAAACTTGAATCAACTTGAACTACAACTTGAACTACACTAGATTACCTGTACATAACTAACTACCTATGTTCTGAGGCTTTTTGTTAAATATTTGACACAATTTTGAAAATATCTTGTTTTTTTTGGCATCCATTTCATCATTAATTTAATTGTTTTAATTTTTTGATTAGATAGTCCGCTGAGCTTCGAGAAAATTTTTGGGGTTTCAAAGGAATTTTGTAAAGATGTTTTCCAAAACATAGAAAAGCAGCAAAACTGCTTTTTTTTAAACTTTTTCTATGCAACTATGCACATTGTCTATTTCTTGGCGAGCTGAGTTTTCTGGGGTTGAAAACTTCATCCTTAGTGTTCCTATTTCTGCATTTTTATATAAAAAATAAGTGATAGCGTATGACAAAAGTGAATTTTTATTTTGAGGTACGCAAATTATTAAAGATCAGATCAGTCATTATGAAATTCAAATGTACATAAAGTCTGTTTTTTTTTAAATGGAAATGCCAAACAATCTTAACGTTGGCATCACTAGTAAATTCATTCATGGTAATTTTAATAAAGGAAGTTGGCAGTTCCGGTTTTTTGAATTAATTTGAAAACAATGTCATTAAACGTCAACACAAAAAATCGTCTAAGAAAATTAGAGTCGAAACACCAAAAAAGAAACAAATTCGGTACACTAACAGTTTTTCGAAATTTGGAAACGAATAGTTCGCAAGCAAGAAGTTAGAAAAAGGGCTTGTTAAAATGTAGACGCAATTTGTAATGCAGGTTTGCTAAATATTCTTAATTTTTAGGTAGAAATCGACAAGAATACAAAATAAACATAAATGAGAAAGAACCTCGGAAAGAACGCAATTAAATTAGTGTCTTGTGCATCGGTTTTTGAGGAATGAGTTGAAAAAGTAATAATTTTGAAACTAAAGTTGAAGAAGAATTTATAAAATGCATCAACTTTGAGCTCATTTCAATCAATTACGCAAAATTTATTGCCAATCATCATAATACCTACTTGAATCTTTTGCTAAATAACTTTTTTCTGTACATCCTTTTTCTTCAAAGTTTTTGTAGCAAGAACCTTATTTTTGTCCACAACATTGTACTTACTTACAGTGTGATTCTATCAAAATTATTGGCACTGCATTCTGTCTTTAGACCTTAGGTAATGATGTCTGTCCTCAGGTATTCAATTATAGCGCTTTCAAAGAGCAAACAGGCACACAAGATTCATAAAAGTCAAAATTTTGACAACATCTCAATTGGAACACATAACCATAATTTTTTAACAAAATTTCTAGAGACAGAAACAAAAAGCAAACAAAATTTGTGGCTATGGAAACAAGCTGCTACCAATTTTTTCACCAAAATTTTGACTTAGTAATTTCCATTAAAAAAAAAACAGACTTTACAACAGTGTAATTCTAATAATTTTTATGTTTACAACATACAACGTTGTTTTTTTGACAGCTAACTAAGATAAGATATTTTTTGGATTTATTAGATTTATCTGATGTTAAAAAAGTAAGATAACTGAATATCGCAAATTATTTAAAAAATGGTTTATACGACATTGTAATTCTAAACGAACGTATATGTTAGCTCAATTTTTCCCAAATTGGTAAAAGTGGTAAGCATACGTACCCCTGGGACTAGTGAGGGTGTTATAATGCTGCGTATTGTAATCTCTGGAAGAGTGGTGGTGCATCACAGACGACGGCCTCTCGACGATAGTGTAGGAAGTGCCAGGAGGAGAATAGTACAGACCGGAGCGGCTCCTGGAATGGCCCCTGGGGCTGCCGCTGGGGTCGAGCACATCTTCGGCCTCAGCAGGCATTGTGTTATTCCGGGTTCTTCCCGGAGTGCGAGTCCAAGCGGTGCCTCCGTAACGGCCTCCTCCTAGATAAGAGCTGCCTAAATCAGCCAGCTCAGAATATTCCTCCCCAGCGCGCATCCCTCGGGCTACTTCCTAGCCAACGTGCAATCGTCACGAGTACGTTAGCTGCCAACAAAAATTACACCATTTAGAACAAGACTCATCGACACAATTAACCGAATCAACGAAAAACACCGCACACCAGTAAATAAAATCCTTTTAGAGACTGCGATTTTCCGGGCTTTGCCAACACGCAAGATTTCATCTTTACGTTTGTCACTGAAGCGGAAGTTTTGCATGGGATTTTGTCACAGAACAAGTTCAAAAGCTAACAAATCCTAGTTCCAGAGGGAAAAATTGGCATCAAGTTGTCGGACTCTACAACCTCACGTGCAGTATTTCTATCATTTATCGAGATTTTTTGATACTTACAATAATAAAAAAACAAAAATTAATAATAGACATTTTATACGTATAATTATTTCTAACGCATACGTTGCTACTTTGACTTACTTAGCTTTATCTTTTCGTGGTTTTGACTTTTTTAATTAAAATATGATTAAATAGTACGCTTGCAATATAAAAATTAGATTTCACGTCACAATTTATCTAAAACATGATAAGTAATTCATTTATGAAACTTTAATGCTAAACTCGGGAAATTACTCGTACCATAATTGCACATTAAAAACTCCTTCTGAATTTTTTTTAAAAATCTAAAATTGATTAAATTTCAAGTTATACTCCTATAATTTATCGTTTAATTTATATAAAATAATGAGCAAATTCTCTCACGTTTTTTTAATGTGAGCATCACTCACACGTTCTCGTTTTTCTGCAATTATTCATCTAAAAGCGACGCTAAAACGCACCATGCTGAAACGGTTTCGATGTAATCTAAAAATTTGTGTGCATATTGAAAAACAATCAACGAGTTGGAAGTGAAAAATTAGCTTGACCCGGTTATTTAAAATTGATAGCTTGCATTAGCTGGAGAGAATAAAATATTCATTTTGCTGAAATATATTGTTTTAAAGATAATATTGTTTTAAGAATGTCAAGTATTTGGATTCAATATTAGAAAGCACAAAGGTTTCTACTTCGAAAACCCTCAATGCTCCAAAATTCCAGCACGTGTCAATAATACCTTTGTTAGTACATGAAACAAGCAAAATTCATTTTCAGATATTAGTTTTGTTAATAGAACACTACCTGGTACTAATTTAAATTGAAAAAAAAATGTGTTCAATTATTTACAATACTGAAAATTAAATTAATGTCACATACAAATATCAAAGGAGAACATGAAATCGCATTTCAAAAACAAACAAAGCAACATATTCCCATTATTAATAAACAAATTTAATGCTGCACAAATCAAAACTATTGTATTTCAAAGAATTTTTATAAAAATTGAAGCAACCTAATATGACTATGTTCAATATTACTTATTTGTAATGATATAAAAATAAAGCTTAAACAGCTTGGTCCTGAGTCGATACATCACTTATTTTGCTTAAAATACGATATGTCATAATCTTGATATTTCTGTTACTGATTTAAGACAAATATGAAGTTATTATTTTAGTTTACTCTGTAAGAAATGTTTTTTTTTGTCGTAAACAAGAATTAATTTCGGTGCTGAGAATTTTTCTGTGCCTTTGAGTTGGATTTAAAAAAATATTTTCTTTACTAGATAAAAGCATTTCACACTACAAAGTCAAACAACACACAACAAATCCTAAAAAATGACACCACTTAAACTAAAGAGACCGCAGGAATTAACTTTGGCTAAATGTTCCTGCGTTGATAAAACATGCAATAAAATTACTTAGATAATTGTACACACTAAAAAAATAATAACAGCAGCAAATATAACAAAAATAAAGAATTATAAATAAATAAATCTACTAAATCACAATTTAAATTCTGCATCAATTAACAAACAATCACACCCTGTTTTATTACGTAATTAGCGTCGAGACCAGATATTTTTTCCAAAAACATTATTTAAGCTATAAAAGCAGACACATTGACCCGTTTTATTGGAACAAAACTGTGCCAAATGTGTGTTAATAAATCACTTCCATTGTAATCCCTTAGCCAAAATAGAGCACACCCTCATCTTTTCCAGACGCTTGAATCCAGATCAAGTTTGTAGTGTGTTGCAGCAACTTCTCATCTCTTCAGCCACATGAAAGTGGACACTTGACTTATTAGCATAGCTCAATAGACAATATTTAGAATTTCACATCGATCAATACAACACGAAATTGTGGAAATGTACCATATATCAACTCTATCTACGATTCCATATAACACCTGAATATTTTATAGCCCTTATAACCCCCCGAAACTTTCAAGTAATTTGTTACGAAACTGTCAAATAAGAGAAGCTTAGTTGAGGGAACTCCTACGCACAAAAGACAAGATTACAGGAAATGCAGAAGTGGACGAGATAAGAGAAAACTTTAAAGTGTAACGTTTTGCAAGCACCACAATTTGCCATATTTGACTCTTGCTCGAAAATGTCACGAAAGTTAAGTAAACTAATTAAAGTACAGTGGTTGCAACAATAGTTAGTCCAAGTTTTATGCACTGGATTAGATGGTATAGTAACAATTTCTAAAGTAATTAATCTTGTCTTACTCAACAAAATCAGAAAAGAGGTTTTGAGTAAAAACTTTGGAATAACGAACAGAATACAGTGAAAAATTTTTACAAAAATCTTATCTAAATAAGAAACAAGTCATAGATTCGCCCAAAAAAGTTAAACAATAAATTAGCTGTTGAGTCAACCGCCAAAATTTTGATAAACTTTCATAGATTCAAATTTATAATAATTTGCAAAACTAAGAGTTTGAAAGAAAAATGCTTCTAAGAGCAAAAATAAGACCAACGATAGGATCTATATTCTTGAAAGCTTGTGTTGCGCCATGCTATAATCCTGAGTTATCGCAGAACCTGTGTCAATATGCGGTAGTCGTGTCGCAAGCAATAAGACCGATCAGGACACGAAGGCGTCACATCAGCCGAAGCTTAAATCATATTGATCAAAACCGTAGTGTTGTAGAACGGATAAAACGCGACCTTAAAACCAGAAAAAAACAAGTTTTACAGTATGTGCACGTTTGCGACTAATTTTAATTAGTGTTCCTAATTCGTTAAAAAAATACATATTTAGCAGCTTTTGAAAAGCATCCAAGTTTATTAAAATTGTATCTAGCCACAAGGATCGCAAGGATGAAAAACACAGTTAAGTGCATTATGAGAGTCACTTCCTTTGACTACATGTTCATTTAAGAACAGTGAAGCAATTTTTTTAAAGAAAATATTGAGATAAATGGAACTTTTCACTGACAAAGCCGTCTTCAACTCACTGCTTTTGCTCCAACAATGTGAAAGTGACCACAAAAAAAGTCTTAATTTCACTTACTATACCACATATTGTTTACAGCTGTCACAAAAGTACCGTTTTTAGAAATAATTGCTCGCAATAAAAATACTTTCATAAGTGATAAATTTAATATCGCTGAGTATCTGGGAAGTGTATGAGACCTGCAGATGTTTCCGTTTCGTTTCATTTAATATCTGAATTCCCGTAAACTGTTGAAGTCAACCGCTTCTACGAGGAAATCTTGATGACCGATCATCGCTTTCTGCTGAATACTGAATAGATTTTCTCCAGGTTGCATCTTCAAATAAGTTCGGATCATCAAAAGTCCTCTAACTGATTAAACGATTATCATGCGTCAGCTGCAGAGTTTCATTTTTCTCTCCAAGATCAAGATTTTGTCAATTTCAGGACTAATCTTGACAAGCCTCGACCTCGCAGTGCTGAAATGAACACAATAGCCGTCGTATCTGTTGTTAAGCACAAAACGTCCTCTAATAACGGCACACGACTAACCACAAAAGTTTAACTAGCTGAACTTGTCGGATCTAAAGGAATTTACTTTACCTAATGTAGAATTAATGTTTCGAAGCATTTTGCTAGATATCACTTTAGTCGTTGTTTATTTAGTATTAACCCATTCTGTAACTCACAATAAATCAATTTAATATCACATCTGGCCAGTGTGCCAACAAGCTTCTGCAATTATAACGACCGATACCGCAATTTCGATTCCTCCAAATAATTACTTTCCGTAACAATTATTTATATCGGACCTGGAGATGATAAATGACTGCATTGCAGTCGTAAACTTGCAGGATTAAGCAGTCAAGACTATAAAAACATTTACACTACTCAATCTAAACCGAATATGTAAAATAAAACAAGTACAAGTCGAAAGAGCCAAATTTTTAATAATAAAAAATTGTTCAGCCACCAAAAAAATCTGGAAGAGTATTTGGTTAAGAACAAGATCAATGTTTATTTGTACTAATTCTAAAAGTCACAAACAAAACAATTTACAATTTGTAAAAAAAAACTTTTTGATATTTAATTTTACTTACTATTTTGTCCTTTTTATTGCAGGATCGTATTTTTTAATTACGATTGTTTCCTATTTTTATTAATCTTTAAATATCATGTCATTCCATATGGTTTAACATTAAGTTGACAACACTAAAAAATGTATAAACAAAAGATAAAGAGTGTCAAAAAATTCATCTTATTCAATATTGAGAACAGAATCGAAGATCTTTTTAATCGTAAAAATTCAAAGTAAAGTAGAATTTACTAATTATACAAATTATACTTATTATCATTAATATGTTCACGACGGTAGTCTTGCGTCATCAATTCATGTTTTCATTACCAACATAAAATTCTGATTTTGCAGCGGTGTAGAGTTTAGTTTAAACCCAAACAACTCGTGAACGGTACATTTTGGCGATATGAAACAAGAGTACCTTTTTTATAAAAAAAAATAATTAGGCAGTCAATTTTTGGTATCAAAAATAAGAGTTAATTGGCCGAAAAAAAGTTATGAACCAAAAACTGAAAGGGCTTTATTACCACCTGAAATATACTTATAGCTTTTACAAGACTTCCGTTTACACCATATCAAAGAATGTCTTTTTGTTCCTAAACGTTAAAAGTTTCATAATAATCGGATATAGAATAACAAAAATATATCCAGAAAATAATTTTTTCATACTGATTTTTGGAAAACTGTAAT